AGTTTTTCTAAAAATATGTGGTGAGAATAAAACTATAGCATGTTCTCAGTTAACCTTTTTCTTTTTGGTTGTTGAGCTTTAAATTTTATTTTTTAGCTATTAAATTTTTATAAATTTTTTGCTTAACTTTTGTACATGATAATTACATTGAGAGAAACATAATTTTTGAAATAATTATTATTTTTAATAACGGTTGTGTTTAACCATTATTATAAATAATAATTATGTTTACATTATGTTATTTTATTAATATTATTTAAATATACATTATTTTCCAAAACTTTTATGAAACTGTATTAAAATTCTAAAATACCTTGTGTTTGCTGCTTGAAGAAATCTTTTGTTGCTTTCAAGAGCATAATTGTTAATTCTTGTTCAACTTTTGATTGCTTAATCTCAAACTCAATGACTCGTAACCTATCTAAGCTAGGTTGGCTTTGTATAAGTTATTTATCTAACTAAAATTTACATTTGGTTAGCCTAATGACTATCAAAACCTAATTAGATTAAAAAAAAAAAAAAGAAAGAAAAAGAAATGCAAGAACATGGTTCGTGAGTTAATCCAATCCAATTATATATGACCGGAGCCCGATTTAACAACTATCTTTAAGAGCCCAAATTTGACAATTCGTGACATCATGATTTTTTTTAATACAGTGAATTAAATGTTTGATATCTATTTTTAGTTAAAAATACATTAAAATATTTTTTAATTTTTTTAACATTAACATATTAAATCTATAAAAGAAATATTTTAAAAAATATTATTTTAATATTTATTAGATAAAAAAATTTAAAAAATACTTTAAAAATAGTCTTGAACCACAAAAATAATAAACACCCAAGAAATCCCAAACACTTTTATTTTTTTTTAAGATTTAAGACCAAACCTATTAGAAAACAAAGAGTTGAATTAGTGAGGGTTTGATACAGTGGTGTAAAATATTTTTTAAAATTTTTTTTATTTAAAAATATATATATTTTTTAATTTTTTATACTAATATATCAAAATTATTAATAAATACAAAAAAATTAATTTAATATTTTTAAAGTAAAATATACTTTTAAAATATACTTAAAAATAGGTTAAAATTTAGATTTAATTTTATATTTGATATTAACTCATCAAATTTATTTGAAAATACTAAAAAATATTAATTTAATATTTTTAAAGTAAAATATACTTTTAAAATATATAAAAAAATAAAAATAAAAGCTACCATGTAGCATGTGGGCCACTTTACAAAGGGACCCCAAAAATTGACTTAATTTGGAAGAAATAATGTGTCAGGGCCTCGGTGTGATTGATGTTCAAGACACAAGAAAGGGGTAAAGGGCTATCAGCGAAAGATCATGAGGCAGCTGACCTTTCGCATTTACTGGCGTTCGTGGGGACTTGACATTCCTCCCCCAGATAGATCAGAAATTCAGAATGTCCTACAGAAATGGCCCAAGCCGTCTTCCACACCCCTAATAAATTTTACTTCAATAGGTCACATCCATTTAACTTAAAGCGGAAAATAAATATACAGAAAATAGTAATATAACTTTTCAATTTACAAAATTAAAAATTAAAATATATAGTAAAAGAATACACAGAACTCTCAATCCCAGCATATGTTAAGAAGAAGAGGTGGTCACAGGCAGCAACACTGGTGTCATTTTACGGCTCCGTTCCCCTGGATGACCCATGAAGCTGTCTTTATTTACTCATCACCTGACATTTGTGTTCTCCGTCAACTACTTCTCTGCCACAACCATTAAGGTTACAACATCTAATTTCAAAATCATGGGTCCCTTCTCCCTCTGCATGCCAAGTGTCATGATTTTTCATGGTCATCCGATCCTGTTCCTGCGTGATGCGTTTGTCTGCTTTACAATTGAAGCTGAACGTGTACAAATATAGGGCAACAGCCTGTGCAGTCAAGGGAAACCATTATTCTTTTCATTACAAAAACTACCATCTTACTCACTAGTACAACATCTAAAGACTCCAACAAGAGCTTGATCTTGTTATCAATGGTCTGGTGTAAGACACCATTAATTTATTTGAAATGGGGATATGAGATATAATCAAATAGTGGAGGTTGTGGACTAGCAGGGCTCCAATATTTGTGGTCTATCGGACCACACAAAATTGGGGCAGGATATCATAGTTCTTGGGCTCAATATTTCTTAGCTTGTCCGATAAGAGAATGAATAGGAAGGCACCTACCCCTGTGTTCTTCTCTTCCAGATTTAATAAATTAGAGGGAAAAAACTTAATGTGCCGCTCGGGAAATGAATCATTTCTAGTGGTTTAAGTCGGGACCAGCTGAACGGAGTATCTGAAAAAAAAAAGTAGTGCTGAATTCAAACAGCTTAAAGCCTAGAGATAATGAAACACAGTGAGGGTTCAGTCCCATGGCATGGAGCAAGTTGAGACATGGGTTTGGATCAGTTTTATTGAGGTTGGAATTGAATGTCACATTGATCACTCGGGGATGTTGCGGCACCAGATGGTCTTATAGGAAAATCATGTCTATGTGAAAGCTTTTGAGCCTCCTTCTGTAGTTTGATCTCAACTTGTCAAATGAAGGCAACTTGATCCTACAGTGTCACTGTACGAGCTTGATCTATAATCTCGTCATGTTGGTGGTGAATTTTTTTTCTAATAAGTTTTGTAAAGATCATGCTCTAAATAGACTTCTAATAATGTCTAGTTTACTGCAATAAAATGGCATGATAAAGAAAAAAATAAAAGTATCCTCAGTATAATGAGAAATATATTTAAAACCAAGAAAATGTGAAATGAGTTTAGAATTGAAGTTATAAATTGTATTATTTACTTGTCAAATAGGTGTTCTATAGAAAGCTTAAATTGCATGACTTTATAAAAAGCCAAGTTTTACTTATTTAAAAGTAATTAAAAGTATTAACTACATGCATGCATATGATTAAATAAGGACCCAACTAGATGACAAAAGTAAAAAATGATTTTTGTGAGCTCTAATCAAAAGTCAAAATGATACAAGTTTTACAATTCTAATAAAAAAAAATGGTGATTAATAAGAATGTCAAATTTGATGAAGAAAAAACATGAAATTAGAAGATAAATGATGTTGAGCAGTATACATTTTTATTAGTTCTTGATGTTGAAATATGAAGATCATCAATAACTTGTTACACCTCTATAATCACCAAGAACTATTTTCTTCTTCTTCTTCTTCTTCTTCTAGTAGAAGTTCCACTAGTGGCAACTCACTTAGTTCATCAAGAAAAATGAGGTGATTTGATGGCTTGTACAAAATAATTAATCCAATTAATGATGATATATCACTATATTGACATCTTGCTACAAGTGAATCTATAGCATTTGTAAATAAATACATGATGAAAAATAGAGAATTGCTATATATAAAGAAATTGCATCAATTGAAAAGAATAACATATAAAAATTTATTCTTGGACCAAAAAAGAAGAAGAAAATAATAGGTTAAAAAGAAGTAACCTGTAGTTATATTATTAACTTGAAAAGATGAATATATAGCTATTACAACAAGTGTTTGTTATTCTATATGGCTGAGAAGATAAAGAAAAAGTTGTAAATGTCACATTAGAAGTCTACAAAAATTTGTACAAACAACTTATTGGTCATTGTTTTAACTAAGAATCTAGTATATATTTCATGATTGAAGTGAGCACATAGATATAATATTTCATTTCCAACAAAATTGTATTACAAACAAGGAATTTGAAGTCAAATATATAAGGATATAAAACGAAGTTGTAAGTATTTTTATAAAACTACTTGAACATGATGTTTTTGCCAAGATGAGAGATATTTTATAAGTTATAAAGAAATTAATTTTAAAAGGGGATATTGAAAGTAAACTAAATTTTGATTTTCTGTAAAATAGAAGAATCAGCCAATAGATGAAAACGATATAATACATTTCCTTTTTAAATTAAGATTTTTTTAATAATTTAATTTTTTATTTGTTTATAACTGGAGGTTTATAAATAAATTTTTAATCAAAAACATAATTAATATATGTTGAGAGAGATACAAAAGAGAAAACACTTTCTAAATTTTTTTTTTACCAAATCCTCTTATTGTTCTCTAGTTTTACTTATTATTTTGCTGTTAATAAACTCCCGCCACACTTATTTTTTTCTTCCAACAAGCATATATAATAATTCATTTCGTAGTAACCTTGGCAAAACCACCATGTCAATGGTGGCAATTCACACATTAGAGTTCTTAAAACTAGAGGACAATCCATTAGAAAGAGGACTGAGCTTATGCAAGTTAAAATAAATACATCATGGGAAAAAAGAGATACATGTGGCGGGGAGGTGGATTTGGATTATCGCCTCAGTGCAAGTCATTAAGAGCACAAATTAATGCTCCGGCAACAAATCAACTAACCACATACTCCTTCACCTGCTAATATTTACTTCACTCTGTCAGCTCTATATAATCCCCGCTTTCTACACTGAAGAATGCACCTTTCAGTTATATCCTATTTTACTTCTAGTGTTCTCCAAGAATACTGAGATGGAGAGGCAGGAAAGCAAGCAGGCTTCAGTGTTGATGTGGGTTTTGGCCGCTGGCTTGCTTTCTCACAATTTGGCGTTCCCTGTATTGGCCACAACCTTTGAAGATCAGAAGAACTACTACTCCCCAGATCCACAAATTATGTAAAGTACTAAAAAAAATATTAAGTTTATATATTTTTAGTGCAAATACACTTTTAAAATCTATTTAAATACAATTAAAAACACGATAGCAAATAGCCATTACACATAAATAGTTTAGAAGGATTTGATTGAACTGTTTAATAATCACATATATGGTTTGGAAGGATTTGATAGAATTGTTTAATACTAATGATAGTTATTTTTTAAAATATTTTTTTATAAATATTTTAAAATTTATTTTTAATATAATATATCAAAATAATTTTTAAAAAATATTAATTTAAAAAAAAAAAACAAAATTTTCAAAATCGAGGCTGCAAAGGCACAGACACCAATAAGCATGAGAAAATGTGAAGACATAAATAGAGTGATGCTGTCTAACATCCCATCTACCTCATGACAGCACCCCACAATGTAAATGCAACATTTAATGCAGAGGACTCTGTCCTTTTTCTCTCTTGAAATGTATCAACGTCAAGCAAGACACGAGCAACAGTGATGACTGATGCTGTCTGCAATTTTCCTAAAAGAACACTGAAAGAAAATCCTCATGGAGACAAACGCTATACCTTTTTCTGCAAGACCTCATTTGTGTAGTTTTCTGGTTCTTGGTCTCTTACATGCTGTTGTTGTTGCTCCCCCTGCTTCTGCCAGTCTCTTTTTCAACTTTTATGGAGCTTCATGCCCAACTGCTGAACTTATCGTTTCAAACACAGTTAGATCAGCTTCCTCTTCAGACCCTACCATCCCAGGGAAGCTACTTCGTTTGGTTTTCCATGACTGCTTTGTGGAGGTGAGTCTTTTTCACTTGCTGTGTGTTTTGTGTTATCTTAATGAGTGCCGGAAAACAAAACTTTCCACACGGCATTTCACTAATTTCTTCCTTCATGGGGAAGAATACGTGATTGAATTTAGGCTACAAGCTCTTTTTCACCAGTTGTTTAATTGAAAAACGACTTCAGAATCATGGCCATCTAATTAAGTATTCCTCATTACTTTAAGCAAAATCCTTACAGGCATTCTGCAACATGATTTTGATGAATAAACTGTTCTTGACTTCTTGATGATTGAAGGAAAAAAAAACTTGTTTTAGAGTATTTTGGAGATTGAGCTATTACAGTATAAACTGTCATGTGTCACTTCTTTTAAATCATCAAGGGCTTCTTCGTAGACTCTGCTTGAGTTGTTTCACAAGAAGTCATGGATGATTAGCTGTAATTGGCAACACCATTTGAGGCACTTGGCCGAAGCAACACCAAGAATTCTCTTTTTGTGATCCAATTGTAACAACTGATTTATCAGCACCCAAGAATAAACTGAAATCATATTCTTATACTACGGAATTGGTGGCTACTCCTCAATTCTAGATGTCATGGTTACAGGGCTGCGATGCATCCGTGCTGCTGCAAGGAAATGGGACTGAGCGAAGTGATCCAGGGAACAGATCTCTCGGAGGGTTTCAAGTTATTGATTCAGCTAAAAGAATGCTTGAAATCTTCTGTCCAGGAACTGTTTCTTGTGCTGATGTTGTTGCTTTGGCTGCTAGAGATGCTGTTGCAATTGTAATATCTCTCACTGTTACTATTGTTCCTTGTTGAATTCTATGCTTCTTTTGATCGGTTATTCATTTATGAAGTACATGAAAACAGACTGGTGGACCTCAGCTTCAGATTCCAACTGGTAGGAGAGATGGGAGGGTATCGGCAGGCGCAAATCCAACTGGTAGGAGAGATGGGAGGGTATCGGCAGCCGCAAATGTGAGACCTAATATTATAGACACGACTTTTACAATGAATGAGATGATTAACATCTTCACTGCTAAAGGATTATCTATTGAAGACCTTGTTGTGCTATCAGGTATGTGATAATTAATCTAAAACCTCATTCCAAGATTCTTTTACAACACCAAGCAAATAGCTAGACTATCTGCTTCTGACATTGATCGAAAAACTAACCAAGGAGAGGCCAAGCCATCGGCTGTTTGTTTTCTCCATGCGGAGAACTTATTGCACCCGAAAACTACTGTGATAAATGGTTTATTTACCAGGCTTGATGCTTTTGCTTTGCAGGAGCTCACACTATAGGATCAGCTCATTGCAGCGCATTCAGTGATCGGTTCCAAGAGGACTCCAAGGGGAAGCTCACACTCATCGACACATCTCTAGACAGGAATTATGCAAATGAACTAATGCAAAGATGTCCAGTGGATGCAAGCGCTTCAATAACAGTTGTTAATGATCCTGAAACATCCTCATCATTTGACAATCAGTACTACCGAAACCTAGTGGCCCACAAGGGCCTTTTCCAATCAGATTCAGTTCTTTTAGATGACAAAAGAACAAGGAATCTAGTACAGGATTTTGCAAATGATCAAGAGAAGTTTTTCCAGAGTTGGAGCCAGTCATTTTTGAAGCTAACAAGCATTGGAGTAAAAACAGGTGAGGAAGGGGAAATTCGCCAATCTTGTTCAATGACTAGTGGATGAAGAACCTTGAATGAGTTGGTTTTCTCGGCAAGCTCCATTGTAGCCCTCTCATTGTTACGAGAACAGGAAAGAAATCCAAATTCTGCTCTCAAAACAAGATAGTGCTTCCAAATGTTAGAAAAATAGGGGCATCAATGCACCTAGCAAGCAACAATGGCATATAACTACAACCCTTCTGCATTTGTTCATAAATTTAGTCATTTGGTTAGGATATGAGGTTATTTGTGCACTCACTTTTCAATCTTTCTTCTCTAGTTTGATAGGAGCTGTCATGGGTGATTTTATGTGTATGGAACTTCATTTGTTTCTATTTTCTTCGAATAATGTATGATGAGGTAAGGGTATGGTAGGCAGTGTTGGGAAATTCCGACCGGTGATGTTCTGATACTTGCTCATAGGAAAGCCAAGCACACTGACACAATATTTAACGTGGTTCGGCAAAACCGCCTACATCCACGGGAGAAGTCAATATATTTAGAGATAGAGAAAGAATACAAAACAAATACATGGAGGAGGAGGATTACACCCTCTCATACTCAACTCTCAACTCTCTTTGCTGCACTTGCAGCTGCTGCCATTGCAGCTCTCTCTTCCTCTCTACTCTCTTCACATTTTCATAATTCTCTTCACTCATTTTGCTCTCTTGCATATGTCTCTATTTATAAGCATTCATGGAGGCTTTTCTTCAACAAAGGTGGCTGCCAACTCCAACTCTTCTTCAACAATGGTGGCTGCCAACCTTTGACATCTTGGATGAGTGCACATGGTTGGTGCAATAGCAAATGGTTGTTGCACATTAATGGCAACCAACCTAACAATCACCCCCTTTGCCATTCATGTGGGGCAACTGTCCTCTTGCTTCTTCAACACAAGCTTGCATCTTGCAGCTCTTCCAAGCTTTCCAATCTGAGAGCATCTTTGGCCAAGTTTATAGGTACTCGCCAAACCTTTCAATCATCAGAGTAACCATAGCACACCTTTACACAAAAGGATCACTGTAACCAGATGGTTTGCCACATTACATCTGAATAGTGTTAACGCTTGTCTCTGGAACAACATTCCCCTTCGAGCGTATCAACCATGCTCGGTCCGGAATGATTCATCAAGCCTCACATCAAGGCTTATAACACCCCCTCAAACGGATATTTCAAGTGCGACAGTTATTATCTGAGTATCTCAATATGATCACAAGCTCACCACTCTTCCAAGAGTCTACTCATCCAGGAGTTGCGCCTACCCTCTGTTCCACCCTAGGAACCACGCCTTACTTCTCCATGAGTCTCTCGCTCTTAGTCTCAAGAGTCCAGGTAGCTTTCCACCTTTAACCATGGGGGCAGCCCATAAAAGGTTGATCCATATCTGTCTTCATACTCTGAGTATTATAATGCCATTACCGAGCTCACCACCTTGACAAGAGTCAACTTGTTCCCGGAACCTGCGCATGCCCTCTGCTCCTTCATAGCAGCCACGTCTTAATGCTCCACAAGTCATCCACTTATTGTCCAAGGCAAATGTCTTCTAGCTCATTGATCTTTAGCATGGGGGCAATATCCATGAAAGTCAATCCTGCATTTGTCTCCATACTCATCATAGCCCTTTTATTGGTTATCCATCTGTTCACTCATACCTAGCCATCACATTGGCTCTGGGGCGTTCTGAACTGGGCTCCTTCCACGGCCCTCACACCTTCTCCTGAGGTGTCTCCGCTCGTCGTCATGCGGCGGTCTGATCATGGGCTCATCTCATAGCCCTCACACCTTCTCTTTAAGGTGTCTTCGCCTTTTATAGGCAGTCGCATCCTCCTTCAGCTAAGATGCTTCAAAGTGGCTCCATAAATTCTTTGCCACTAATTACATAGAAAGAGAAAGTTGCGGTATACTCCTCGCAATCCTCCACCTCAATTTCTATGTTTGGAGCTTCTACGCCTTTTCTGCTTAACAGCTCCACCCGCACCAACTCCCTTTGGTGTCTTCGCCTTTCATCATAGACGGTCGCCTTTTATCACAGGCGTTTGCACCCCCTCAATTAGGTGCATTTGCAACAGCTCATCCTTCCATCCTTGCATGCATTGAAAGGTCCTCGCTTGTTGCCTTTATCAAGAGCACAAGAGACTTTTTGTTGTACAACTTTTTCATAGTCTCTGCTCTAAGCTTCATCTGGGAACTCTTCTTTTCCTTGCACCTGTTGTCTCATTATAGTACCTCGTTGAATCCTCCGGGTACTCCTACACAATCTTCGTGTGCTCTCGTGCAATTTTGGTTCTCCAGATTTCTCCATATTCCTTGCTTATGTTTGACAGCAGCTCATCCTGTCACAACATCTATCCAAGTCAAAATAGGGTGCCAATCTTCATTTCCTTGATGTATTTCTCTACCATTATCAGGGTCTTCATTAATTCTCCCCTCGAGAAATTACAGTCACCGAATCTAACTTTCTTGGAGAAATCACCACTCCATCAGATCCTTGATCATACGGAACCCAACTGTTCCTTTGTGCCGTCATCCTGCTAGTCTTCAACAGTTTCATAACAAACTGTCACATATACGAAAATAGTACCGTATGGATAATCCTTCCACTAAGCAAGTTCCCAGGAAAGATTGGAGGGGTCACAACGGTCCCGCTTAAAACCCAATCTCCTAGCCAGAACTTCTTAGGTCATATCTATCCATCGTACTGTCTTTTCGTATATACAACCATTTGCTAGCTTTGTCGCGGCTTTCCTTTACAAGTGATCTGGGGTATCCTGGTTTTATACCTTATTTCTCAACATCTGGCGAGACTACCAGTGCTCAGATTCGTCAAGATTGGTCTTCATCAAATTTCACTCTCCACCTCAAATTGTCCACATGATCGGGTGTTTAGAGTGTCCCAATTTTGCCTTCCCTCAAGGCAATTAAAATTCCCATATAATAGTTCAACACATGTAATTGGGTAAACATGTGTGATTTCTTCTTCTTCAGCTCCATCGACCACCATGATGACCATCAGATGCCTCCTAATCGGGCAATCTCTCTTTAATCATTCATCACTGCCATTTCTGATCTTAATCTCAACGATCGGACCGTACCATTGCATCCGGAACGATCAAATTAGCTGGAAACAAGTCTGAAATCGTCCAAATCGCACTTCAGACGGCTAAGATTTGATCAAAACAATTCTGGCCTGATAAACGGCCCAGATTCAATCTCAGAACCTGTTGCACGTAGACTCTGCCACACAGGATCAAAATCCAGGGAGCTGACGTGGCTGTAATGACGTGTCATCCACGTAGGACATATATGTCAACCAAATCTGACGTGGCAGTTTGACTGGTCAGAGTGCTGATGTGTCAGGTGACGTGTCTGATGACTGTGCAGAACTGCTGACGTGGCTGATGACGTGGCAGTCACCCCGCCGGCGCGTGCGACGGTTTCCGACGTCCGATTTCGACGCGGTTTTCACCAGTGGCTTCGTCTCTTCCTCCTCTACGCAGTGGTATGGTCAAAACACAATTTTGACAACTTTCATTTTTGAGCAAAATCAAACACCACTTTAAACCGAACGCTCTGATACCAATTGTTGGGAATTCCGACCGGTGATGTACTGATATTTGCTCATAGGAGGCCAAGCACACTGACACAATATTTAACGTGGTTCGGCAAAACCGCCTACATCCACGGGAGAAGCCATTGCATTATGTAGAGAGAGTACAAGATTTACAATAATAGAGGAGGAGGAATCATCCTCTCTTTGAGCAACTCTCAACCTCACTCTATTTCTCTCATTTTGTTCTGCAATGGCAGCCCACTCTCTCCTACATTTCTCACCTCTTTGGCTCTACTTCCTCTCTCTCATTTTGCTCTCTTGCATATGCCTCTATTTATAGGCATTCATGGAGGCTTTTCTTCAACAAAGGTGGCTGCCAACTCCAACTCTTCTTCAACAATGGTGGCTGCCAACCTTTGACATCTTGGATGAGTGCACATGGTTGGTGCAATAGCAAATGGTTGTTGTACATTAATGGCAACCAACCTAACACTACAAACTCATCCAAGAGGCATTTGATCTCTAGAGGATATGTATTTATTGAAGGCATGGGGTTAAATGGTTGAATTTGAAAAAAAAAACCGATCCCCTGTAGACCCAAATACTCTTTATTGTGTAGAAGCTCAATACTAGACGTGTCAGCCTCCCGTCCAAGTCCCTGCAGAGTATGTATGACTCCGCCGATTCTGAAGGTCATGGCGAGATGTTTGTAGGCTGTCTCAACTAGTCCAAGGGTTTCCAACCATTGCACTCCCAGGACCACTTGACAGGCTGCCAACCGAATACCTCGAGTGAGGCCCCCTCGTGGAAGGATGATATAATAACAGGAAGGACCGAGAGTGTGTTACACTTTTATGGCCGCGGTAGATTAATAATATAATTTGGTTCGGATTACTGTAAGACTTGAATATTATGATCGGGGAGCAAGAAGACGAACGGTCGTTTTCAGAAATAATTACAAGGACAGCGACTAGGGAGCTAACTAGACCGTACAATCTTGTTGCTGCCAGTTACAATTCTAAGGAACCGAAGGAGGATGTAAAATATCCGAATACCTCGAGTGAGGCCCCCTCGTGGAAGGATGATATAATAACAGGAAGGACCGAGAGTGTGTTACATATATATATATAGGGAATTTTAAATCATACCTAAAAAGGCCTCCTTCGCGTGGAGCGGTCCCCGAGGCTTACTGCACGAATATCGATGATAGACGCAAGAAGTCTCGCGAGATCGCACGATAACTAAAGTGTATGGACGAAACACGATGGATACCCTTTTTAGTATCTTTAATTAAAGATATTTTTAAATAATATTTTGTAATTTTTAATAAGAACTTAAAATAGTGAAAAATACATTAAAAATTTTAATTTATTTTTTAATAAAAAATATTTTAAAAACATGTAAAATCACGAAAACAAAAGTACAAGAATAGCCAAGGAATTTTTTTTATCAAATCAGCATTTTAGAATTCTTCTTATAGGAACATCACAATTAAAAATTTAATTAAAAAAATAAGATATTTTTACAATTATAGATAATATTTGTGACTCAAGTCAAATATAACATACCCAATTCTCTTTAAAAAAAAATATAGCATAAGCAATTTTCTTATTTCTTTAAGCAATTATCTCAAATATAAAAATAAATCAATATTACTCTCTATCTCAAATAATAATAAAGGTAGATTTAAAATGGATTTTAATTTTATTTAGTAAAATTATATGTGCTATATTTTTTAAGAAATTGCAAGTTGCATATACGATACTGTTATTTATAAATTAAGGGTCCACAAGCTATCTGTTGCTCTATAAATAATATTATTTTTTAATTAAATTTTTAATTGTGCTATTTATTTAGCATTTATGTAGCCCAATATACATTAACATCTTTAAATTTATCAAATGAGAATAGATGTCGTAAATGATTTAATAATTAAAAAGGTATATAAAAAATTAATTTAATATTTTTATAAAGAAATAATTTTAAAAGATATTTGCAAAATATATACAACGACTTTAGAAGTTTCCACCGAACGAGGACCCCATTTCCAAGTCAAGAAGCTCATGACCCGCTTCGCATGTCGCTCGAGATGCGGTGGTTAAGAGCGTGACCCCAACGTATTTAAGCGTAAGAAAGAATAAAATAAAATTTTCTGGCGTTATCGTGCGATATCGAAAGACACACGCGAGAAATCTGCAAAGCTCGAGCGGAAACATTTTGCAGATCGGACACCATTATAAACGAAGGGATACCCGGTGTGAACACAAACATTCAATTTCAAGAGAAAGGAAGGAAGGGGATAAGTCAACACGGTGGATCCTCCGGGTCTCTGCGTCCATGGACTCGATCAAACCTTTAGCTCTGCGCCGCCATGTTTGCAAGTCTACACAGAGGAAACAATGGGTACCCACCAAATCTTGTTTACAATTCTATGTTCTTTTTTTATATATAATTTCTTTTGTTGCTGCTATGAACCATGTCCATATCCCCAGAAATTAAAAATAATTATTATTCTTATATTATATTATCTATATCTAGATGATCACTTTAGGTTTTTTTTTTTTGCGTTTTTGTTTTTTTAATTAAAAGTTTTTTGTTAAATTTAGTTTGTTAATAAAAAGGCTAGAACTAGTACGTTACTAATCGGCGTATTTTACATGCATGGATGCCGATCTGGCTTCTAGAAAAGAGAAGAAAATATCAAGAAGAACAGAGAGAGGAGGGAGACAATGGAACGGCTGAGAATAGATATGGTAGAGATCAGTGAGGGACAAGAACGCCTAAAAGAAGGGCAACGAGAAATAAGACAAAAGTTTGGAGAGATAGAATCGGAATGCCGCAAACTCAAAGAGGAGACAATGAACATAGCCAAGCAGAGTGATTGCAATCAAATCAGGATCGACCTAATGTTTAGCATTTTGAAAGCACGTCAAGACAACAACTTTTCCCATGCCGAACGCCTTACTCAGCTCCTCCGGTTGGTTAAATTTCCTTCACCATTTATTTTCTTAATTTTCGGGATATCGGATTTAATAATTAATCTTGCTAATGCTAGCTAGTAAGGGAATCACAAGGAAAAAGAAGAAGAAGAAGAAGTTAACGAACTCAAAATCAAGAATCAAAATGCACAATGTTGATAATTATTTTTTCCCTTGTTCGTTTTGTTGCCAGTGAGGAAATGGGAAGGCAGGAAGAAGGAAAGCCGGGTCTGGTTGGCTGACTAATGATCATCTAAAACAACGAGCAGTGTGACTCTTAATCGTCTTTTTTTATTAAATTAGTCTTCCCTTAATTTCCTTCTGCTTGTCTTCTTCCTTCAATTCTCTGTTCCGAATTGAATGTATTCAGTAATAGTGTGCGCGTGCGCGTGCTTCAATTCTCTGTTCCGAATTGAATGTATTGAGTAATAGTGCGCGCGCGCGCATATATATATATATATATATATATGCTATGCCTCTGTTCCAACTTTACATATTCTGCTGTCATGGATATATGGTATGATTTCGTGAAGAAGGTTTCGATTATGAGATTTTGCAAGGCGTGCGAGAGAGAGAGAGCGGTTCACGGAAAAGAAAGTCCAGCACCGAACCGGCTCCTTACCTCGAAGAGTGCGAGGAGGATGTATGAGAACTAGATTATTGACAAGGAAGAGGAGGTAATATATCCTCAAGCCAGGCTAGAAGGACTGGCCCATAGCACTAGGCCGAAAAAAAACTCCACAGCCGCTCCATATAAGCTAAAACAAATAGCCCAACAAGACAATATATGTCTTGGATTTAAGAGGGTGCAATTTCCTCCCATCTTTTTCACTAACTATAGCCCAGCAAGGTTGAACTCTCTTCCAAAATTTGTGCATTTTCGTGTTCTTGAAAATTGTTAAGGCTACAGATCGTACGGAAATTTCTAACTCTTTCTTCTAAATTTAGATAATACTTGAATATTGTTGAGATAACCCCTAAGTCTATGGTTCAATTGCTTACGTTTTAGACATTAACTGGTTATGTTACCTGCAATTCTTTGTATTTTAAATATTTTTATTTTTTATAAAAAAATTATATATACAATTTTTTTCAACCTATCTTTTATAATTTAAAAAATTTAACAAATCAAAAAGTTTATCGACATATATATTCAAAATAAAATAAAACTATGTTAACTAATAAATAAATAAATAATTATTAATAATATCTAAAAAGATATAGATAACGATATCTAATCTTGAATGATAGAACATTTTTGCTAATTTTTATTCATTAAAATATTTTTTATTTAATCAAGGAATAATAGAAATAGGCAAATATATTAAATTTATTGAATAAAAAAATATGTAAGGTTGTGAAAATAAATATTTTTAAATTTTAAAAACATAATTCATCTATACAAAAGATAAAAAAAAATCATAGATGTATCAGAAAATTTTTTCTAAAAATTAAACACATAAAAGAATCATTATTATTTAAAAGAGACTCTTTAAACAAAATAAAATAGGAAAGTGATATTAATATAAATATAACTAAGTTTTTTTAAAAATAAAAAAGTATTAATTAAAAAAAAAAGGCTAGACGTTATTAAGTACGTCAAGTTAGGCCATCTTGCCTGGTCCGGGCCTATTAGGACAAGCCTGCGCAACTAGACCTCTTTTTAATTTGCATTTGAGATGTATGACATGTCGCTGCTTGTTTTGCCTAGATTCTAGCCACCATGGTGGTCAAAAAATTAGGGTTTATATTTTTTTAATTCAAAAACTTTGTTTTCAATCTTCTTCTTCTTTTTTTTATCTAAAACACCTTAAAAACTATGATAAATATATTTATGGCCTCAAAAAACCTAAAAACCGAACTCAACCCAAAATAAAAAATCAACCCGGTGTCAGATCTTTTTTTTACAAACTTTTAAGGCATAAAAAAATCTAATATAAACTCTCCCCATTAAATGAAATAATTTGACACAAATATCTCTCATTTTAATGGCCTAAATAGGTGCTAACATCATGTTTTTTTCTCTATAGCTGAAATCCAACGATTTCTCTTTCCTTTCACAACCCGAAACCAAAAAATAAAAAAAAAACCTCTTGTATCAAAATATAATTGGAATAGTTTTGAGAGATCAAAATTATACAATTTACATGCTTGTCTTAGGTAAAGGATCAAAGTGTATTATTTTTTAAACTTACAATACCCTATTCATGCTTGTCTTATATTTTTTTTAGGTTCTTTTTCTTTCAATTTTATCATTTCATAGGAATTCAAAATTAATTTCTCATTAAATAGGACTAAATTGTTCAAAAAAATTTGAGAATTAAATTGAAAAAATATAAAATTTTATACAATCTATTTACAGTAAAATATAAAAGAATAATCAATAAAAAATCTCAGGCGGTTTAGAGTATAAAGTATAAGACTCGGTGTTGTCATATGTCCACGACCAAGTTCCTCCATGTTTTGTCACTCAGGAGCTCACGCTAGCCATTTCCAAAACTCTATTGGATTTAAGAATTCTAAATCCAACATAACAGTTCTGAAAAGACTAGATTTAGGTGACCGTCATATGATGAAGTTCAATAATGAAGGAAAAAATAATTTTTATTTTATTTTATTTCTGGACGCACCGTCAGATTTCTCTTTGAGCAACCTCTACTGCACTCCTCCATCATATGATGAAGTTCAATAATGAAGGAACCAAATTTCATTACATATATGTAAGAACAACAATGCAAGGTAGCATTGCTTATCGAGTCCACGAATTTCCATACACCGATCTTTGAAGTTTTACATATTGAAGGTGGGGGAAAAAGATCCGAAATGAGAAAAAAATGGAAATTACAAAGCCAGGATGCCTTGCAATGAATCTATTTATACCTGATGATACTATAAATTAACAAATCTCTGTTATTGGGTAGCTAATTCTTCAATTGAGATGTTGATCTGGAGGATCCTTGGCTTCTTTTGAATAAACTAATCTGTGTAAGGTATTCAGCTTTCTTCCCCTGCAATCTTGTATTGCAGTTGCATAAGCTCTCGGAGCGGCATGTTTCAGGATTTCTCATGTTTGTCATCTTGAACTTTGGGTAGAGGAATGCCAGAGTTTCTTCTGGCAAATCAATATTTTCTCTTTCTCAACTCCATATTCAGTGTCTTCTCCACGGCAGCTCCACCTCATACCCTTGGCAATGGTAGAAATGGCATCCATGAAATAGCTGGATTCTCGTATTATTGCATAACCCGCAGGTCTTAGGATCCGATCCATCTCCAAAAGCACATACTTAATATCACATCTGTGCAAGAACAAACAATCATGAGAATCACATTTCATGCCAATTTTCATCCTGCAGAGAATTTTTAGTCGGCCTGGTGTTGCATATTTCCAAACAATATTCAATATCTTGTGATACTCTTTTCTCATAATAGTCAAGTATAAATTAGGAACTGTCCACGTATTTCGGTCGACTTTATCATATCAGACAAAGGTTTATACCCAACTACACAAGATGTCATTTCCTTGAAGCTAACCACTTAAACGTGGACCCGGTGCGATCTGGCAGATCAACATTTCTAGACAGTAAATTCCAAGTGATTCCATAAAAGCAGAGAGGTAAAATGTGCTCCTTAACTTACCTGTGGCTTTCTGCAGTGAAGAGGCCATCAAGGTGAAGGAGATCATAAGTTCGAGGGTAAGTTGAGAAAGCTTCACACCTAGAAAATAGAAAAGAGATAAATCAACAGCTCCTGAGTACTATTAATGACATCCAGCCATCAAAGATAATTTTCATGCAAAATGAGAACTTCAAGATTCTTATAAGCTCCTTCAGATTACCAATCATGAAAAGTTCCGATGAGGCCACGGTCAAAAACAACAGGAAGTGTGTTGGCAGCATAGGAAGAGACCACATTCATGACCCACAGAGGATCATCAATCACAGCTGCAGCAAAACCTCCATAAACTGTATTCATGTCCATAACATTTCTTATCTTATCAGACCCAAGTGCTGGGAGCAACTTCTTGTAGTGCTTTGCACGAATCTTCCACTTGCTGTCATCATGCTTAAAAGCACTAGCACTCCCACCATGAACATCTAAAATGCGTTCAGGTGTAACATGCAACCTCTGTGGCCATTTGGGGATGGACTCCATAACTGATTTCTTAATTCTTGGGCTTGGAACAACAACGCAAGGGCGGAATGGAGTGTACCATGCTGAATCTGGTTCAAGGCTATCATCGCACTTAGGTGGGTAGGCATCGGGATAGGTAAGTTTACTGTAGCAACTATTATCTGAAGCTTTCTGCCACACAGCAATGTCATCCTTTTTGTCATACAATTTGAAGCACATCGAAGTCAGCAGTTCTTGCAACTTTTCATAATCAGATTTCTGCTCTTCCACAGTAGTATTCCAGCCTCGCCAACGGTTTTCATAGTTAACAGGAGGACCAGACAGAACCCAGAAGCCACCGGGACGGAGAATACGGTGAACTTCCAGAAGATAAATTCCACCTGAGAGCAACAAAATTCTGTTCTTGAGAAAAGCAGCAAGTAGTAACACAATATGCAACTATAATAGGAAGACAGAGGTGAGGAAAATGAACAGCATCAACTAATCGTCGTGCTAATAAAGGAAGTCAACTAGGTGGTGGTGCCCATCCCACACTGAATTTCAAAAGCCTTTCTAAAATCAGAAAATCAGGAACCCTGTGAAGATTTCAGCAATTAACAAATGCAAATAATTAGAGCACATAATCTTTTACCTCCCACACAAACTGAGAGCAGGAAAGGGTTAAAATCAAGACTAACCAAATTCTGTCCATGGGATAAGACATCTGGAGCAATGAGCCATATCGAATGCATTTGATGGGAAGGGAAGTCTTTGTGTGGAAATGATGCCAAGAATTGCAGGAATTCCACGTTCTAATGCAAACTGGACTTGAGCCTCATGGTTATCTCTTGGGGCTAGAGAAACAGTTAGAATCCCGCGATCTAATAGATCACCTCCCCAGCTAGCAACCTAGAAATAAAAATAATTGAGTGGATTAGGCAACAGAATTCCAAAGAGACAAATAGCCTAAATATGAATGGCGGTACCATTCCTCATGCAACATGGATTCTGATGGTTCAGGTTTCGCTGTTTCTTTCATGAGTAATTCCAGAAACGAGGATGAGATTGAAAGTGCAACTCACCCCACACCCAGTATCAATGGCAGTGCGAATGGTCCCATCTTTCATTTCGGGGATAAGATCTTGCATCAGATCAACATAGGCACCCACTCCTCTGGGAAACATGGTGC